CTGATTGTACAATTACTTCTGTCATAGAATCATGTTTTATAGACAGGAGCAGTGTGTACAGGTGTGCCGCTTCAAAGAAGTGGGTGTATATGTGGTGATGCTTCAGAGGAGCGGAGGGTTCGGCTATTAGGCCGCTCAAGAGGAGCGGCCGGAACGGTGGTTCTGCTTGATAGCGGAGTGGCGCATAGGCGCAGTGGTGGTGGCTGGAGGGGGGATCACTAGTTCCTCCTCAGCACTCGATCGATCGCTTTTGCGGCCCATAATAGAGAAGCTCTATTAGGGTTAGCGGTAGATTGTCGAAGCTCAGAGGAGCTGTGTTATGAGGTCCACACTAAGGTGGCCTATGAGGCGGCATATAGAGTGGATCTATGTGGATCCCAAAGATGGGGATTGGCCCATATATACGAAAATTTCGTCGCTATAGCCTTAAGTCGTAGAACAGTGGGAGAGTGGCCCGATCACTTTACCACTGAACCAGCCGGGCTCCTTGCGGAGGACAATGGTCTTTTTGTCAAGATCTGATTATCCATCAATATCCGAATAATATATAAAATAAGATCCTCTAAAAGAAAATCACAAACCCTTAAACAGAACAGTTACAGAATCGCTATAAGTAATATTGAGTAGAAGAATACTAAAGACAATAAGCTTCTGATTAGTTAATATTATACTATTATAAGCAGCGAGAATGTTAGCAATCTGTAGGCCCATTCTTTAGTACATTTAGAATACCCTTCGGGAGGTCAAACATTAGATGTTAATCACTATAAATAAAAAAATATATGTGGGTTATAGTATTGTAATTATAATAAGCCAAAAATAACTAATATATTAGGGGAGAGTTTTATAATAAAGAATATCCAGATTTCTAAATGTAATCCTATTGCTATATATATAATAAAGTATTTCGTGATAATATTTGCTATATTGCTATTGGCTAAGCAAAGCTTGTTAATAATAGAGTAAGAGTTGGATATAAATTTTATATTGATTAATAAATGATTGGTTAATGAATACTTTACTAAAGCATTTGTTATTAATTAGATTAATTATATTAAAGGGGGAAAATATATATTAGAAATATAATAATTTGAATAAATAGAGATTTGCTATTTATAAAACTGAATTGTAACAATTCAGTATTATCTATAGTATATCTTATTCATTCCTTGTTTCTTAATAATCTCTATGGCTGATTTATTATAAAGATAATATATTTTCCGGAAACTTGTATATGCTATTAAACAATAATGTGGTTTATCATCGAGTAGACTATATCACTAAGTGGGCTATTTTCATTTCAATTTGTACTCTTTATATTCAATATATGTTTTATTAATCATTTATTATAAAATCTACAAATAAAGAAGTATATTTACTTTAGTTATCGAAGTTCTTCAAAAAAATAAAAAATTAAGTATTCAAAAGATTACTAAACTATATAATATATTTCGTATAACAATTAGTTATAGAATAAACAATTTAACTCCATATATAGAGATTCAAACAAATTATTATAAAATTACAAAATTGAAAGAGAATGTGATTATTGAATATATATTTGATATAGATTTAAGAGGATTTCTATTCAATATCAAGAATATAGAAAATATGATGAATTATATTCTTAAATCGAGGGGTTCGAAATGTATTAGAAAGCTTTGGGTATATTGATTTGTATAATGTCGAATTGAATTAAAGATGTGTTTTAGTTATATTTATGATTTCCAAAGAGCTCTTTATAAAGATTCTAAGCTTATTGAAGATTGGTTTCGAGTGATTATGAATATAAAAGCGAAATACAGTATTTTGAATGGCGATTTCTATAATTTTGATGAAATAGGCTTTATAATAGGGATTATATCTACAGCAATAATTATTATTAATATTGAAAAATATGATAGAAATAAATTAGAAATCTGACATGTTTATATAATAATCAAATTGATAAGTTTATTAAGGTATATATCAAATTATATTCAAAGATTGAATTCTTTATAGTTTTAAAGCTATATATAAAAGAATCAATCACTTTCAGAATATGAAATCAGGATTCAGAGAGCAGTTAATACCCTTTGATCTAATACTATACTTCGAAATTGAATATTCGAATTCAATATATCTATCCCTCCTTTTTCGATTTAAATCAATAAATCTCTCAAACCTCTTACAATTCAATTAAAGCTTTTTCTCAATCAATTTTAATGAAATCTCAAATAACCTTAATATCAATCAAGCTTTCTATATCTATATTCAAAATTATATTAGCTTTAGCTAAAGGTATAAAAAGATTAGCTTATAAGAATACACTTTTGAGTATAGAGATTTATATACTTCGAAAGGCAAATGAGATATTAAATAATATTGATATACAAAAAAAAACCCAATTATATTAAGGAGAAGTATTTATTAGATAAGAAGCTTTGATATATTATCTTAACAAAAGGTTGATATTCAGATTCAATATAATGAATATCAAAAAGAAAAGAATTCTAATAGGAAAGCATTTTTTATTTGGTATTATAGTAAATACAGAAAAACAGATCATAATATAAGAATCTATCAAAATAATATAATAGATCCTAGATTATTAGATTCTTAATAGTTTTAATTAATTAATTCAATCGTTGTTGAATAATATAGATTTGAAGGTATGAATTGAAGTAAAAGTGGCCCACTCGGTAATATGACCTACTTGGTGATAAATTATGTTAATAGTAATGTTATACTATTGTATAGAAAGATATTAGAAATACTTTCTAAAGATATTAAAAAATCATTCTTGATATAACTATGGATTATATTAAACTGTTATTGTATATAGAGCTGTTTTTAATAATTATATTTCTAAAAGTCATTTTGATTATAATTACTATTGCTTCAATATTATTTGTTTTAACCAAATTGTTGGTTTTCTCTTTTGATATTATTATGATTATATTCTAATATTCCTTTTGAGGATTCTATATTATATTCTCTAACCACTCATTATATATTGATTTGTTTTTTTTATATTACAATCCTAAATAGAATAATCTGGTTTTTATAATAATAATAAAAGCTGAAACAATATTCCTTTTTGTATTGTTATACCTTATTTTGGAATTTGATTATATTGAGTTTTATAAAATTATTATATAGAGTGGTGGTAAGTGTAGAAAGGGTTATATTGAATCGAGATTAATTATAATTGTTTTTTGATAAATCTATATTATAATAATCATTTTTCTAATAATTCTGATTCTAAATTATAAATTTCTTTTTTTATCTTTTGATATTATTTAGTGTATAGAGGCTTAAGTTTATATAAATTATAAATTTTAATTCTTTAAAACTTTTTATTTTAAAATAAAAAACTATTTTCAATCAAACTTATAACATTAATTACCTAAATATTCTAATTATATATAGAATATTATAAAAACCTATTTCTCTAGCAATCTTGAATTTATCAAACTAAATTGCTACTTCCCGCTCGAAATCGATTGTAATATAAAAGCTATTAAGCTTTTTAAAAAAACAAATCGGTGATTATATAGACTGAATTATTTTGTAAAATATTATTAATATCTTTTAATCGTTTTTAATATATATATCCTTCAATAAAAGAAACTATATATAAAAGTTTCTTTTTTTTAGTATCAAATATAATAGTATTAGATATCCAGTAGATTTGTAATCCTTGTTTTCAAGCTAGATACTTGTTTTATTGTATTATTATATCAGTCTTCTTTCTTTTAAAGATTTTAGGTTTTAGAAGTTTATTACCAAATACCAATAAATGAATTAAGGGTTTGGACTAATGTGTTTTATAGTAATTAGGAAAACTGGTTTTATAATACTATATTCAATTATGTTTGGGTTTATAAATAGATTTGTATGTTAGCTAGGACTATATACTTATTACTCAGATCTGTATCTATTTTAATCTGTATATTATGAAATAACTCTAATGAATTATTAACAATACTATATAAATAATATAAGTATAATTGTTTATTTTTAGAAAAACTAAGTACTGGATTTCGAAGATTGGGGTTAAAAATGTTTAAAAGTTTATTTGTAAATCATTGTTATTTAGTAAAAATAATTCGAATATTTGTTTTAAGATTATTGAGTATTTGAATTCTATTTTTTATAAATAACAAATTAAGTGTATTTGTTATTTTAAAAATAAAAATAAAAATAAGAATGAAGATAAAGATAAGAATAAAGATAAAAATAAGAATAAAGATGAAGATAAGAATAAAGATAAGGGTGAAAATGAAGTCTTTATTAGAGTATTATTATTAAATCGGATTGCTATTGATATATAATAATAGGATCTTTATGAAAATAGAATATATTATCACGATATAAGGGATAGGTACTAGATTGGATATATGATATTCTATAAAGAGGTTGAAAGTGATACGATGTAACTTTGCCATATAATGGCAAAGATGACTAAGCATCCACTACGCTAATATACTACGCTAGTGAACCCGTGACATATATCATATTTCAACTACTTTGAGCTAAAGCTTTGAAAGGTCCAATCATTTCATAGGAAAGTCCATATTTACATTAAAGTAATTGACACGATTGAGAGCGAACAAAGTTTGGAACCCGAGCTCTCTGAGTATAGTTTTATCATTTTATTATTTTTCCACGAAGTATGACAAATCCTAGTGATAAGATCAATGTCCACGGTAAGACGCTATTTGCAGAAAAGCTACCCCTCCAACGCTCCGTCGCCGACTTAAGAAAGCTCAATAATCTGAGACCAAGTGAGATCAGTTAGACTTCAAGTTACTTTGTTGCTCCTTCTTTGATGTCTAATATGCACAGCCCAATCTCCATCCTGGCCACCGTATAATATGCAACGAGAGAGAATATCCCCCCAAAGCCAAGCATTATCGAGACTATTCAATTGTCAGCATCCCGGCTCTGTTCGTACCACATCAGGGTTATCTATCAACAGCGATGACGCAGTACTTACCGGCAATCATTGACCACAGTCACACCTCACTCTCGACTCCTAGTTCAGCGGCAGATTGATCATCACTTTCTTTCTTGACCCGCTTCGATTGATTCTTCGAGGGCGTTTCCTCCTCATCATTCTCTTGTCCCTCCTCGATAGAAGCAGCCTTGGACTTGCGTTTCTTGACAGAGGTGGCAACAGGAGTGGCGTGTGTGGAAGCAGAGGGAGAGCCGATGCGAGATTCTTTTCTGATCTTCTGGAAATGTTGTCTTTTATTGCTTGGTCAGTCTTTGTGCAAGAATTGTTTGAGAGGGGCTGTGGTAGAGATAGAATTGTTGCAATTTAAGGAAGCCAACTATTATGCGGATGGAGATACATGGAGGTGATAATTTCAGAATAGTAGTGTACAGTAGTTGAGAAACACGGGACTTCAATTTTGATTTGAGGGAGACCATTCGAATCGAAACAACGATCAGAATCCTTGATATAAGTCAAGGAACACACATAGACCGTGGACAAGATATGAAACAAACTTCCTTACGTACCGGCAAGCCTCCTTGGTAAAAGAGTAGCCTTTTTTCTGGAGACTCTCGGAGATTATGGGCCATTCAATAGCCTTGAGATTGTTTCCTTCGATGATAGCCAACAACAAATCCTTGTCAGCCCTATGATCCCACTGAGAAGGCATGATTGATTGAAGAATGCGAGATTGGAATTTGTTCTTGTTCTTATTGCTGCTGCTTGAGTTTGTAGATGGATGCAGTTGTAGGTTTGGGAAGAAGATGGGTGGAGGAGAGAAACAAGATTGAGAAGGATTGTGGAGAGATACATCATATGAAAAGTGAATTTCAAAACGAATGACATGATTTTCGCAAGTGAGTGAATTAAGCATATAGAATTGGGTAGATAGATACAGCTGGAGGGGGTAGGTATATGCAAGGCCTTGTGATTGATTTTCTTAGAGAGTTTCTAGAAATTAACTTCCAACTTCAACAATCTGAATCTACTCTTCATCATCTATTCAACTACAGATAATAATCCCGTAGGCTTTGATCATCTTCATACCTACAAGATACATAGCTCAATCTTCACATTTTTCTGTCTACCTAGGTAGGTAGTATTCATGCAGTCACACGATATTGAGTGAGGCAAAGCAATTGTAGAATGGAAGCAGGACAGGGAACTAATGCAAATAGCCACAAAATCTTCAATCATGATTCACAGATAGAATCATCAAAAGTAAATGAATGCAACCTTATCAAACACTCCAAAGAGTGTTTGTCGCTGTGGCGCGCGTGTCTCGGGTAATTGTTTTTATCATCAAACAATCACTTGGCCATCCTTACGACACTCTTACTTGTTCCGTTCATTCAAGCTACCTAAGCGTATGTAAAAAGGAAAAGGAAAGTCACCTCGTCAATTTTTTTGTTTGATAATCCTTCCAAGCCCAGGGGTTGTATTGATATATCTACCGAAAAGGGGCACGAGCGACGGTCGTAATCACTGTGCCACATATTAGCAGATTGAATACCTTTCTGATATCTTCGACTTCCTTTCAGATCATTGATTGACTATACACATCCTTACCAAAAGCAATATCTGTGTGCATTTCAATAGAATATCAAATGTTTTAAGTTCTCTTTCAATAAAATCAGCTTGGAAAATGCACATTTTACTACTAAACTCCGCGCAAGATTGGTGCATCAAGATGAATATTTCTATATCTTCCCCTCACAAATCCTCACATGATTCTTTGCAAATATTCACAACACCATTCTTGCTGCCCTACAATATTTGTGCTTCTTCGCCTTCAAAAGCAAGACCCCAAAACGCCATTTGCGCCCTGTTGCATCAGCGAGGGAAGCATTCATTCCCTGCTATCTACGCTAAAAGGCTTCCTAATCCTCTCAGTCTAACTTCGTCGCCCCCCCGTCCCCCTCTTAAATACATCGAAAAAACCCGAAGTTAGGTGTGTTACCTGCGGTCATCGAGTTAGCTAGTTCAATAGCAAATCAAACAATGACCAATGACGGAGCCATTAATCGCTTGCTATATGCAATACTTAGTCAAAAATGCCTCAAAGATGTATGAAATCCTCATTTAATGAAAAATCTCATTGTGTGAGTGGAATACTGACAATAATTCCACAGATTGATTGGAATAAAGTGGCGCATGATCCTATTCTTTCCCAAGAAATTACCAACGGTCACGCTGCTCGAATGCGCTACTCTCGATTCAAGAAACAAATGGACAATGCAACATTATCGCCCGTTCATACCAGGAAGATTGCTACTCCTCGACGTTCTAGGATCGAGAAGAAAAAATCCACCAAACGAGAGCCCAAACTCAAAAATCAGGAGAACATTCACGATAGCCCCAACCTTAATCTTCACATGAAAAACGAGTCTCAGAACGCTCATACACCCCTCTACATGAACACAAGTGACATGGAGACGAACCATAGCAGCTTGTTCCCCGCACTAGAAGTCACCAAGTGCGAGCCCGCCACACCCATCACTCCCCAGTCAAAGATGAAGACCGAGTCCGACTTCTATATCTCTTTCTCCACTCCAGAAGAGTCAGTCTGTCTCGACACCCCTTTCTCAATGAACTCACCCGCGTCTCCAAACAGTCTCAATTTTCCTACCCCCGGTGTTTGTTAGTTTCAACAGTTCCATGAGCAGCACGGGAAGTTTCAACAGCCGTATAACTAACGCTTCATTCTTTGGTACGCCTCTTCACGAACAAATTGGATACAAAGAGTCCTTTGGAGCCGCACATCGAGATGAGCAGGGATACTGTTTTGATCCTTGGGCCCAAAGCGTTAGTGGATATGATACCACCAGCTTCCAGGACAGACACAGGGTACCCAATAGTCCGGACTGCAGTCCAATAGTATGAGGGATCGAATGTCGAAAAGCAGTTGAACTTTGAAAACAACTCACCATTTCGATAAAATTCAACAATTTTAAATGATTTGAATGTGTTACTTGGTTTGGGGATTTGATGATCTTGATTTTTAGACTGCAGTCCGGACTATTGGTCAAGAGGGAAGAAAACTACGACGATGATTCCTGTGGATTCTTCTTGAAGTAGAGTTTTACTGAAAATTGGGAAGTAGGGAATCCGAATAACTTGTTTAGCTTCACTGTGTAATACTTGCTTGTCGATTTCAAACAATTCTTTCGTTTTAGGGTTTTGATACTTTAAGCAAATGGACCACGTTTCCTCTGACGAATACTCCTGACCGCGGATTAACCCTAGAATTGAAAATAATACATATTTGACTAATCATGCTGTCCCTGAAGTGCAACATCTCCCTCTTCATAGGTTTGTCAATAACGTAACAAATTTAACAATAGTACAAAGTTCTCAAACGATACATCCCATGTCTGTATCATCCAATATTGCAGAGATGAATCCAAGTCATCTTGATTTACTAATCATGCAATATTTCATGTTCTCATTGCTTTCATCATCTTCCACTTCTTTCTTCACCTTGACATATGGTCCATCTAGTTCTTCACTGCAGCTGGGCTTGTAACTTCTTCGATTTTTGAGACTGGCCGGAAAACAATGGCTGGCCGTCTCTGTGTCGATCTTGACGAAACCTCTGGGACCAAACTCATTCCGGCGGCCAGTTTCAGGTAGCCGAGAATCAAATGTTTGTAGAAAATTTGGGCTCGCCGCACATCCATCGAATCTCATTTTCGCAAGACTTTCTCTACAAATTGGCTTTGCCGCTCTTAAGGGGGCACAATAACCGCTGCCAGCCTGAGATGTCGGTGCCATTGCAGCCTTGCTTCCATCAAGCGAATGCTTTGTTGGTATACGGCCGATCAACTTAGAATTCTGTTCCAATTTCAATACAGAATGGCTCTTCACGTGCTCTGAATTAGTGAAGCATGACTGCGAACTGCCGCTTCCTGATTGTTTAGCATTTGTGACGCCAGACCTAGGCTGTGATTGTCCTCTTTCATTTCGTGTAACGAGACTCTTCACCCATTGATAATCTTCACCCTCATCTTTAACCTCCGGGGCACCCGCTGACTTTTGCATGGGATGCCCGCTGCTCTTTCCAATGAAAAAAAAAAATGCTTTGGATGGAAAGAGGCATTCAAGTTCCCAGACCTGCTCCCCCCATAAGATTGTATGTAATGTGCCGACATGCAGATATACTCCTCGCGACCAAATTGCTTAGATATACGTTCCCATGAGTAACCGAGATGACGCGCCCTACCGAGTCTCCTTCTGTCGGACTCAGTCCACATTATACGACGAGATTCATTCTCGTCTTCGTCGATTCCGCTCCTCTCTAAGAAATTCTTATATGCCGCAGAAGCAGTCCTCGCATTGGTACCAAAAGCCTGGCCGATTCTTCCCCATGTCCACAAGAGACTCGATTTGCGCATCTTAAGCATATGATGCATCATTTCTTCAACTCGAGATAGAGTCTGATGACGATGACCAGAAAGCTTTTCGGCCCTTCGAAATAGTGACGCTGAACTATGGGGATCGGCCCAGAATTTCTTCTCGTATCTGGCGAGAAACTGAGCCCATGATTCTGATACTTCTTCATTTCGCCATTCTCTGAAATTGCAAAGGTACGCATCCTCCTGAGAAGAAAACTTTTGTCTCCTGCCACGCGAAGTTGGCATTCTGGATATGATGGAGCCCAGCAACGAGTAATATAGAGATTATCTTATCAGTAAAATCGTCGCTCCGAGGGATGTATTTCTTCCGCTAAGGTCTAATCATTAAGATGAGAAATTTCTAAAAGCCAACTGGTCTGTCAGCCATGAACATTGATGTATCTTCGGTTTGTCAAGAAGGCTCATGCTCATAAGGCGCTCACCAATACTTTTAGGTCAGCGCCAACAGCAAGCTTATAATAACAACGTATGTCTTCCAAAAACTTGAGTGTTGCTAGTCTTCTACGAAATAGTATTTGAAGGATATTTTATGGTAGATGCGTATCGATAACAGTGCTATTGATGGTTTCCAACAAAAGAAGAAGTTCACAAAAGTCTGTCAAAGTAGAATTATGTTGCATCGAATTAATGAAGCATTATGTGTCTCAAGAAGGATAAGGAACAGGAAGTTTTTGCACATGAACACATTGATATTCTTAAAGAAGGAGCGCAGACGCATTCGGAATAACCGGCTCGAAGTGTATCCTCAAATCTGGCAGGAAGAGGGGGTTCGATAGATACTTGCACAACTTCATTCATGCCTACCATATTGGGAAATGAAATCATGAAATTTGGAAGGTCGCTGTGGATGCAATAACCTCGAGGTTTTTTGTGTCCACTATGAAAGCTCTTCTATGTTCCAGTCCGGAGCGCGGAGGAAAATGCGACTGGATGCTAGGCAATGCACTGTTTGACATAGTATGAAAGGTCTCTGAATAACTTTGGTGGACTTTAGTCACTTAAACAATTTCCAGTGCCTGTTGACTACAATACAGGTTGCTTCACAGAGTTCCATACCTACTGGTATCATCAGAATGCAGATTTTCTTTAACGCAAAGATCTAAATAGCATAAGATGTCCTCCTTCCCATGCAGCATTATGTGCCAAGCCTCAGAACGCCAGAGAGGTTACCCGCCTTTAAACGCCACCATCATCATGATATATTCGCTTCTATCCCACTACTTATTGGCATCTTTTCCATCCAGCCTCCGACCTATACTGTCGCCCTTGGCTTGAGGCTCTGGAGCTGGCTCGCTTTTGGCCTCCACCTTCTTGCCGGTCTTCAGTGATTGTCCTTGCCCCGAGAAATGGGGTTGCTTTGCATCTGCATTCTCTCTGTCCTTATCAGCTTGGGTTTTGACTGGTTTGACTTCGTAACCGAAGAAAAGTTTGTTGGGTGGTAATCGAAGAGGTTGAGGACCATTCGTTCTTCGAACCGATACGGCAGGAGTGTTCGTGCTAACTCCAGCAACAGGAGTTGACGCAGTAGGTGTGGGGGTCTTTGTGCCCTTCTTGGCGCTCAGTTTGTGACCACCAGATACAAAGTTGGACGAGGCCGCTTTTGCGCCTTGTGCGACAGAATTAGATGTTGGTGCAATGGCATTGTAGTTGATAGCCTGTGCCATGGTTCCTTGACTATGAAGCATGCCACCTGCAGGTAAACCGCCGATGGCACTTCTAGGTGTGCTGGTTCCGCTACCATTACCCCTGACTGGAGTTGGCTCGACATAGCCTAACGGAGCTGCGAAATCGACCTCAACATCTGTTTCGAGCATACTAACCCCCATTTTGTCAGTAACTGGTTTGACCTCCAACACCGCAATATCGTAGATAGTATCGTTATAGTGGAAGCTAAAGATATCGCCTTTAGTGACCGTAGAGAAGTCACGAAACGCCTTTTCGAGCACGGCCTTTGGGTTGGAGATGTCGAGAAAATTGACGGATTGAGGTTGAAGTTTGATAAGAGAGGCAGGGGGAAGATCGGTCGATTTGATCTGGAAGAGATCTCCAGTTTCAAGTCCAAGGGTTTGCATCATCTGAGTTAGGTGGTTAGATTAAAAACATACTTTTCGATGAGACAGAAAGGGCGCGTACCCAGTGTGGAAGATAAACCTTTCCTTCATCTGCAATAAACTCCAGTACACCAGCATGTGTTAATTTTGGTCCATCGGGATGTCGACTGTTGATAAGCTCGAAAAGCATAGGGTACGTAATGTGTAATCGAGTAAGCTTCTCCAAAGCAGATGGTGGCATAATAATCTTTCCTCCATAATTAAGGTTGTCTCGTTCAGGACCGGGTATCATGACAGTTGGATAACATCGGTAGTATTCATCGAAACGTTTGGGAGGCCCTCGCATCCCGCGCTGCTGCAACATTTGATACATGGCAGCTGGGTCATCTCCTTCATAAAAACCCGAGTACGACTATTAATTTCATCAGTATGCGAAGGGACATATTGCCTGCGGATCATTTCACATACCATTTTCTTTGAATAAGTAAGATCTGTGTCTTATGGTATGATGGGTAAAATCTATATCGTAAAAAATCGAAAGCCTTGAAAAAGTTGGATGAGAGGTAAAGTTCAGATATTCCTGTAAGATTTATTTGCAATTAAATTGTTTGTATGGCTTTTGTAAGTAGATGTAGTTCTCGGAGTTTGTTGGTGTAGTATGAGAGTTTATAGTAAGTGAATAAGCTGCAGAAGCTCAAAGGCTGTCAAGAGATGACGCAGGAACCAGCTCTCTCTCTCGGTTGCTTTAAATGGCGGGGGACTCTTAACTCCGAAACCTTAAAGCTTCAAATGTTTCCCGAACCTTGCAAAGAAAGACAGCATTTACTTTATATTATTCATATTTCAAAGTCTCGAAGCTTCTCAATTCAAAGGGATAGCGAATCAGAAATACAATATGTCTTCCAGATACGCAGCTGCGCGACCGAAACGTGCTGGCGAAGAATTTGCCCGTTCGCATCGGAATGAAAATGAGGATGGCCCTTCAAAGAAACCAAAATTCGATCTAAGAAACCCATCTGCTTTGGTAGCTGACGAACCCGAGGAAGATGCAGTTCTGGATGCAGATGTTATCGGAAGTCGAGGAACTGGTACCAAAAGAGGAGCGGTTAATATCGATGGTTACGATTCTGATTCTGATAATGAGGGTTTCGACGCGCGTGCAGACGAAAGAGCCAAAGGAAAGAAGGGCGAGGTAAATCTGGCGGAAGCCCTAGATGGATATAGCAAGGAGAAACCTGGTGCGACAAATGGGAAGACGGATATGGAGGAAGATGCGGACATGTTTGCAGACTTGGAGGATGAATTTGCGGACGGCGATGAGGACGAGAGTGAACTGAAGGCTCGCAAAAAAGGGAAAGAAGTACGATTCTTGAAGGAAGATGAAATTGAAGGTCAGGTTTTGGGTAGCAAGAGTGGAGGTCATGTATCTGGGAACTTTGCATTAGACCCAAAAGGAAAATTATCAACGCACGCGATGGACGACCAAGAGAGCAGCGATGACGAAGAGGATGCCGTGTTGGCCGCACAAGAAGAAGACGTGGACGAGGAGGTTGGTGCCGGTGGATTGAAGAGGAATGCCCCTAAGGTCGATGCCTTCAATATGAAGGCTGAACAGGAAGAAGGCAAATTTGATGCGAATGGCAATTTTGTGCGAAATGCAGCGGATCGAGATGCAGTGCACGACACTTGGCTGGAAGGAATTAGCAAGAAGGATATGAAGAAAGCTGCAGAAGCACACGAGAAAAGGGAGGAGGAACGGCGGCAAAAACGGCTCGAGGATGATGCCATGTTACTCTCAGATATCTTACGAACATTAATATTACGATTGGATAAAGCCGAGACAGTTCTCGAAGCGCTGGCAAGGCTTGGAAAGAGCCAAGTAAAGACGAAGAAAATACCGAAATGGAAATTAAAGAAGCAAACCCAAAAGGATGATTCTATGGATGTGGATGCTGAGAAGATTGAAGACCCGGAACAGACCAGAATACGAGATGCTATAAACGCTATTACAGGCGCTGCTGATCAATTGCTCATAAGAGGCCAAATGGATGTTTATGAGCAGGAGAGAGAGATGCTTATACGACAATATCGGAGAGAGACGGGTGAAGACTGGGAAGAGCCATCCGAAGAAGTGGCTATGAACGAAGAGAATGGCCCCGCGCCCACCAAAATGTGGGAATACAGATGGACTGATGGTCGGGACGGGGCTGCCAAACAAGGTCCTTTTGATGGCCCGACTATGGTAGCGTGGCAAGATGCGGGCTACTTTGGAGAGGGAGTCGAGTTTAAAAGAGTAGGGCAGGAGGATAATTGGAGTAGAGTTGCGGATTTTGTATGATTATGCCATGATACCCGGGATACAAAGAATTAATGGGCGTAATTAGTTTATAGTTACATGTTAAAGTTGGCTTATTTTGCTGCGATAGTGCAAAGACAAGTACATCGTTCTCGATTGATCACATGAGTTATATGACATCTCCAAGCCATTCACATACATAGGATTAGTGTATTGCATCATATCTCAGCTAAAGGAAGTTTGCCCATTCCATTACATCTCCGTAATTGCGCCCACTTTTAGTCAGCCCTAATATACAACATAAAGTTCTACTATTTGCTTGCTTACCACAGCAAATAGGAACGACCAACGCCAAACGATCATATCTAAAACCCTTCGAACCCTTCGTCATTCATGAAAGTTCCATTGCATCGCCATGACCATTGGTCACTGACAAATTCACACCTCCTTCCTCCCCAATGAGACGTTTTTCAAAGTCTGTAACAAATTTGACGCTACGTGCAGAGTCGAAGAAGAGAGTGAAGCTCCGTTGAACATCTTCGATACCAATTTGCTTGGCCTTTCGCTTGGCACAGATAAGTTGTGATGTGGTAATGAGGTTGCTGGCATATCTGATACCAGTTTCTTGCCCAATTTTAGTAAGTAAAGCTAGTGCATCGGGTGAAACATCGACCTCCTCCTCTTGTGCACGAATGGAGAGAATCTGCTGAATCTCTTCCTTGGCGTATGGATGAGTGCTAACAATGACGACCCGGTCTAAGAAATCAAGAGGTAATCCATGGGGACTCTTATAATTCGTGCCTCGAATTCTAGAGTTTCCGCGGTTGCTTGCCATTATGACGATAGGTGCGAGCTCATCTTCCAACGCACGATTAATATACGAAAAGCATTCGATATCCAGCATGTGGACTTCATCGATGAAAAGAACGACAGGCACAATTTCGGCTTTTCCTTCTTCTTTCCATTCTGCAACCTTCGTATTGATCTGATCGCGAACCTCGCTTCTGATTTCTCCAGTATCTCCTGAAAAGAGAGCTAAGAAACCTTGCGTTCTCGAATTGATGACATCGATCTCGTGTAAACTCACAGTGTGGACAACCTCTTTGCGCTTTTGAAGCTCTCCGTCAGGACACTGCAGGAACTTTGTATCTACACCCATTGCATCGTAATCTCTTGATTTTGCGTAAGATCGCCCCAGCTTGGTGATTTTGCCAGAGGATTTGTCAATTGAAATAATATCACCCGCCATTACGCGCTCCTTTGTCATGGAATCGATCATCTTGCTTCCCATGTCGTATATCGTCTCCATGTCGGTGGTTTTGATAGTTAATTTGCCCTGCTTCGTACCACCTGTTACACTCCTGTCGGTCTGGATCTCAACGACCTCTCCTTCAATCATCTCACTCTCCTCCTTTATGCGCACGCCTATCGACTTTCGGAAGGCTTGAGTAAGGGCTTCAGTTTTTGACATTTCGAGGGAGAATATTTCTGAAGAGGCCAACATGGTAAATGGCACATCCGAGCCTAGAGATTGTGCCATTCCCATTGCTATCGCCGTCTTTCCAGTACTGATAGACACGGGTCAGTATAGATTTTCATGACGACCTCTAAGATCACATACCTCGGAGGACCCGCAATTAAGACTGCTCGACCTGCTATCTTCCCTTCCTTGACCATTTGTAAAATGACGGCAGCAGCTTTACGCGCCTTTTCCTGACCTACAAGTCCCTGGGAGGATGCGCGGGGTTCAAGACTATCCGGATCAACACCTAAGCCGCGAATATGAGAATGAGCGGCGATTAAATTGAGCCCGCGCAACTCTTTGCTCTCCGAGACGGTTTGAATTGACTAGAATTTTGTGAGTTTTCATACATGATTCATTTGGAACGAATTAATCTTACCGCAGCCATGGTGCAGAATTTGCGATTTGACGGAAATTCGAGATGTGATAGAGGTGAACAGGTAGGGGGAAGAAAGAATAGTTGTTGATGTGGTACGAGTAGGTTATGATGAAATGGACGAGGCGGAAGAGAGAAGTTAGTTCGTTCGTTCTTCTTCTTTTCTCTTATCGGGCAGATAAAAAAAAGTTTTGGGGGCAGGTATCTGATGAGTGCCGCGACGCGTTTCTTAAGCGTTGTCAAGCCTTATCAAGCACTGACTGATATTCCACTTGGGTTTGGGTTTAGGTTTAGATTTAGATTTAGATATCGATATCGATGTCTAGGACTTGCTTCGAGGTACTGGTATGGTTAAAAGTAGGTAGTACTAGGTACTTATTGTTGTTGAGCTTTAAATATATGATCAGCTGATCGATTAGATAGCTGTACTGATGTAGGTAGGTAGATGGTAAGGAAATCAAGCTCGAATTTCTACTACCAAATACACTACGAAATATACTATGAAATATACTATGAAATATACTATGAAATATACTACGAAATATACTACGAAATATACTACGACAAAAGACTAATAGGCAAGTTGGTACTACTAGTACTAGGTAGAGATAGCTACACCACCTACACCTACAGTACTCAAAAAAGACGATAAGTATGAAATAATAATATACAACTTATTAGTAAGTACTAAGTAGATCAGCCTTTACGCTTATTCAATGAGAATACAAAGGGTGAATATATCCAGTAGATGTAGAATTCTAGCAATAAAGAGACCACCTTGATTACCTAGTACAGATGAACCTGGATATAAGGGCCTAAAAATTTCGAGGCCTAAATGCCCGTATATACAGTTTCAGCTCGGCATTTAGCCTCGTTTTATACCTTTAGCCTCGGTTTATACCTTCAGCCTCCCCATTTTCATTAAATTTGTCATGTGAATTTATGAATTCATCATGTGATAGGCTAAAGCTTGGACCACTACCACCAATTTTTATAAGGGCATTGGGGAAAATTAGGACCATATGCTCTTATATAAAGGTTTGCTCGTATAGGTCAATTTCACCATATAAATTTTTTTGAGGTTGAAAAATATGCCCGTATAAAGAGGATTCCCGTATAGCCCGTGCACGTATATCCAGGTTCATCTGTATCATGGGTAGGTGGGTAGCACTAAGCCATTTCAGCTCTAGCGTGACTCTAAGATATGTACTATCCCTGCTAGCGTAGGAATAAATTCCCTATTAAATTTTTAATTTATCTAAAAGCGTATTTACTTGAATTTAAGAAAGCTCTCATGTTTAATCTCTACCTACCTACCTAGTATCTCGCTATCTAGCATTCACCTATCTTCACTTTCTTTCCTCACCTCTCTCAAACCTTTGATTCAAGTCGCCTGGCTGTTTGTTTATTCATACATTCATACCTAGTATTGCCCACACCTTTTTTCGAAGAGGTCTGAAATACGGAGAGACTTTTTTTCCATACTGATATCAAACACACTCTTTCAACCTCACTCGAAGTGAGAGTAATATCTAACCACAACCCACAACCCACAACTAACTTACTTACACTTCACAACCTACAACCTACAACCTCTCAACCTTTCACCATCTTCTCAAAGTCCACGCCGACGAGGGTAACTTTTAACTTCATCTTACTAGTCTCAACTCTACAGGGCAAACTTTCTTACCAAGTCATCTCGGAGGATTTATTAATGTTGGTATTCTGCTTAGGGAACTCGCTTTCTTCTATTCATCCCATGGAAAGTCAGTCTCGCTTTTCAACCTCTTTAATTGAAAATTAGTATTGGGGTTTCAAGATTCGATCATCGACAAGCAAGGCAAAGAAGTACTTTCCTGTCGTCGCCAACTATGTCAAGCCGCAAACACTCAGAGGATAGACCTCCTCTACGAGGACCAACAGGTTCCCATCGTGATGATAGGCATAGGCCGGCTAAAAATTATGGTTCCAGAGACGGGCAAGTCAATGAAGAAGGACATGAGAATCGTAGATTGGATGGAGGTCGCGAGAACAAAGACAGTGGCACCAAGAGAAATGGGGAGAGGGCAGATCGAGGGAGTCGCTCTTCTGAGGAGAACAGCTCGATGAATACTCAACTCCCTAAGTCTGATAATCGCTCTCCAACAACAACAAGACCAACAACAGCAACGACTGATATTGAATCAGCATCAAAAGGCAAGTACAATTCATCATCATCTTTTCGAAACAATTTCAAATTAGTTTGATTTGAAAGCCACGGAAAGCTCAATCGTTCGCACTAGCTCAAATAGTGACAAAACCTGTGAGGAGGACACTGCTGCTCTGTTGAATGATGTTCCTTGATTTCCTTGTGAAAGTAGCAATAGTTTGTCTTATTTAAGCGGACGTGGTAGGACAAGTCATTGAAGACGTTATGATTTTCGAACTCGAGTCTTTATTATGTTCGACAGAATCAAATTATGCAACCTAAACTAACAAACCCTAGGGACCAATCATCGTGGAGAAGGATATTCGAATCTCACTGCAAATTCCATGCCATCAAGACCGAGTAATATTATGGAAAAATCTGTCAACCCCCTCATCAATGCTTCTAAACAAGTTCCTGTTACAGAATCATCTCAGTTAGAATCTCTGATTGATGCTTTGATGCAATTTGCCAACCAAGGGGATTCTAGGAGTATGCTAAATCAAGTACGAAACTCGGCCGAAGAGAGTCTGAAACAGCAAGTTGAGGAAATACAGAGGATGAGTCCCATCATGCAAAGCTTCCCTACGCACATGGATGTACAAAATAAACGCAAAGCTGAGGCAGAAGATGTCCTCACGAAAACCAACGAAGAGCTTGAGAAGGCCAAGAGATTGCAGAAAGAGGCAGCTAAAAATATTGCCTCTTGCCTGGTTATCAAAGCCTCGCTTCCTATCGCAGATGACTCGAGGTACCTCCAGGAACGTTGTCGGAAGTTGGAAGAGAAAGTGAAGGACCTTGAGAAAACAATGACTGCCATGGATCAGAAAGATGAAATTTCCGATATCAACGATCGCTTTCAAGAAAGTCAAGTCGAAAATCGCAAGGTTGTTGCCGAGATCAAAAGAAGTGAGGCACGATTTGCAGAGATGATAGAAACCAGCGAAGCCAAGACAAAACGCGAACACCACAATCTGTCTGATCAATTTACAAAGCTTGATCAGCGGCATCAAGCTACTCGTAGCGAACTTGCTTCACTCGGTCCCCGCCTAGATAGCCGCCTAGATAGCCATGAAAATTCCCTGAAGAAACATGATGCGTCGATCAAAAACTCAGAGGAAAATATGACAACGCTCCAGCAGGAGACCGGCAAACAATCCACCATCTTGAAAGCGAAAAGTGATGATATTGAACTTCTTACAAGTAAAGTCACATCCCTCGAAAAGTCGTCAGAAAATCACAAGGTTTCCTTAGATGATTTTAAGTCGTCGAGCCTGGAAAAAATTAGTGAGCTAAAGAACGACATGACAAAGTTTATTGAACTCCAGACTGCTCAAAGGGACGTCGCCGTAAAACTTGGAACTCACGAACAAGAGCTAAACGCCATGAAGGACACTCATAAAGTCATCCTTCAAAGTCTTGGAACTACTGTAGAGGAATTGAACTCCCTAAAGGATAAGATTGGTCGACTGGAGCAGATTCCTCAAGCTCCGTCCATTGCCATATCCCAGGCTCCCTCCAAAATAGCAAGCGGATCAAGCGCAACGATGATCGGGGTGATGCAGACTAGAATTCGTAATGCTCTAGAAGACATTAGGGTTCTGGAGGAAAGAATCGACAGGATCGAAAGCTCTCTTGGATCTCCTAGCCGCACTGTGCCCCAGGAAGATGCTAAAGTTCATGAGCAATTGAAAAGCACGATGGAAAATTATGAATCTAGGCTGAATGAATTGGAGGACTCTCTCAAAAAGATAGATTCTCTCAGCATGAATAAGCCAGTCACGAGAATCTCGCCATTTTCCACAGCAGCGCAAGATATCACGGATGTCAAGAAAGCTTTTGAACTTTATAAAGAGCAGCGGGAACAAATGGACCAAGTTCTATTTAAACGTGTTGAGGAGCTCGATAACCAAGTAAACTCTATTCAACGTAGTGATATAACCATCAATGAAAAGATCGCCAATATTCAGATTCGTATGGATGTATTCGTGCAAGACCTAAATCGCTTTGCTCATCGAGTCACCGAAACGAACAACGACCAAAACGCGAATACTATAGCATTAAGACACCTAAACAGTCGATTCAATAATATATCAACAGATGATCTAGCGAAGGATATGTTGCACCAGTTGGAAGTAATTTATCCCGATGTTGGAAATGCCGAACGAACCTTCTTAGAGTTGAGGAAGCAACATTCCAGTCATACCACCCAACTGGAGAAGTTGAAGAGTCAAGTAGTGGCCCTCCAAGGCCAATCTGTTCGCAAGCAAAGCCCAACAAATGCAGGCAATGGAGCTACCGAGTCTTTACGCCAAGAAGTAGACTCGTTGACTAAAGGTCAAATTAAGCTCGGAACAACTGCCAAGAAGCTTGATGAAGCTACCACAAGCACTCAAGCTGGGTTGACTACACTCAAACAGTCTTACACAACCCTGGATCTCAAGATTCAAGATCTCAACGGAAAGATCGAGACTCAGCAGAAGAGTTTAACCGAGATGAGTGCGGATCTCATTGAAGCAGTCGGAGACCTGCAAGCTGGCCTAGAATATCTGCAAAAGAGTTCCAGCAATGATACCACGGAGCCCGCAGGTGATACTCCTGCGCCTGCTCAGTCTACTCTGCACCGAGCTCAACAATCTTCAGCCCAGGAAGCGGTGATAAATGGTAAGAAAAGGAAAGATGTAACAGGTGTAGAGCCCTCAAAACTCGAGAGTTTGACCAATGGTCACACACGGAGCCCTTTGAGAAAGAAAGCTAAGAGAGCCGAGGATGGTGAGGATCTTGAGCAAATGAATCAGAGACTCAATACAAAATGAAATCTAGTATTACTACATTACAAAGAATATAAGTTAGTCTTGTGAGCGTACGAGGGTTTTTGATAATACAGAAATCAACGCGCTTAGAATTTTTTAACTATGTGAATGCGCATATGACTATAATACGTTTTATTCTAGAACTAAATTTAATTTTGATTCTCTATTTTAAAGTAATCTTTAACTCCGAAATGATTAATTTATATATAGTTAAAAGCGAAACTAGAGATTAATAGTAGACTTATTTAGAGTTTACTATAAACGACCTATATTTAAAAAGCGAATTGGATTTAAGAGATAAAGCTAGTTTCTATTAATAATATATTAAATATATAACGTGGTTTATCAGTGCGTGGCCCATATCAGTGGGTGGCCCACTTTCATCTTAATTCGACTTTCTCATTTCAACATGTATTT